ACTCATCCCTTAGTCATTGGACTGAGTCTGAGGGTAGAGCGCCAGAACTCCCTTGGGCTTGCGGGACCTCCTCTTTGGCTTTTTATTTTCCGAGTTCAGGGAACTCGAGATCCTTTTTCTCTTCTTATCTTCACCCTGCTTCGGAGCAGGGGGTTCGAGAGGCACATCGTCATCATCGGATGGAGGCCTTATAGCAACGTCTTTGGTGAGACCTACAAAAGAAAACAGAGCCGATAAGAATTCAACAGTACAAGGAGAAAATCAAACAGTATTGAATCGGAGGAGAAAACTTACCATGGTTGCGGGCCTCCCATCGACCCTTCGATAATTCCATCCAAGCAGGCTCAGAATATGGTCTCTGTGACACCAGGCCCTCGACCCATTCCTTCAGTTCAGGAACTACGTCCGGCACCTGGGCCACAGCTGCAATACTAAAAACATTGATAAGGAAGAAGATAAGAGGTAAAACAATAAGATTAAACATTCAAGGCGAAGTACTACTTACGATTCCTGTTCCATTTCTCAGGAAATGGCATGTCTTCGGCAGGGATCAAGTCTGAAGTCTTTATTCAAACAAATCGGCCCATCCAACCTCGGTCCCGAGCCTCGTCTATACTCGAGAACGGGGCCTTGATGGCCCGGCGAGCAAGCTTGAACAGCCCTCCTCGATGGAATCGAGGACTGTAGAGGCGCATAAGGTGATCGAGGGTAAAGGGACATCCCTCAATTTTTCTTACAAAGAATCGGAGGAGAATCAGTATTCTCCATAAGGAAGGGTGGATCTGGCCAAGGGTCACGTCGTACCTCTTGCAGAAGGAAACGATGATAGGATCTAAGGGACCCAACGTGAAGGGGTAAGTGTAAACACTTAGAAAACCCTCCACATGGGTAGTGATCGATTCCTCGGACGAAGGTACCACCACATGCTTGTCGATCCAGTTGCAATCCTCTTTAACCTTGGTGAGGAGATCATCGGTAATTGTGCATAGGTACCTCGAGACCGGCTCGCATCGACCCGGTACCGAGGAGGACTTTTAAATATTAAAATCAGCAACAATAGGGCACCCTGCCGGAATGAATTCCTCAAGGAGAGGTTCCGCCACAGCCCCGTCACCGACGGGCCGTGATGAAGAGGCGACCTCCTTTTGCGGTATAGTCTTAGAAGTTTTCACCATTGTAGAATAGAAGAAAGGGATTTAGATGGTATGCGGTTTGCTAAAAGCTTAAGGAATTTCGGTGCAAGATTTGCAAAGCAAATGTATTTCTGAAAAAACAAGAATAGGAAGAGCTTTGAATGTAAAGTTTGAATAAAGGAAAGTTAGGGTGCTTATAGCTTGCTGGTGATGGTTCTGAACCCACAGTGGCCGACCAGCAACTGACAGGCATTTAATGCCTTGGTAACCGGACCGACAGGACGTTTCGGTATCCATTTGTTGCTTACGTCATAGTCGGGTGTCCAGTGACCGTTCGTCGCTTACGTCACGGCCATCGAGACGGGCTTCGAAAATTCATATCGTTTCTCGTTATCTTTTCTCCGAGAAACAAGGGGACTATCTGTATACGATATAAACCGGGCTCGCCCCTTGTGTGACTAATCGAGACTGAAATATGATAGGTTAACGTTCGACCCCATGTTATATCGAACCATGGTGCAAAGTTAGATTGTCGAGCTCGTCACTCGGAGACCGATCAAGATTGAGATCGAGCAAGGTCGAGACCGAGTAAGCTAGAGACCAAGTAAGATCGAGGGAAACTTATCAAGCCAAATAACGGAAAGCTGAAATATCCGCAATCGGTCGAGGATCACGGCGGAAATCCCGGCACGTATCAAGAAGAGGCCAATTAATTAGCTAATCATGAGATTTCCTACCTCATATAGAATTGTACCAAGAGTAGGACTCCCTACTATATAAAGGGGGTCTGATAATTTGTAAAACACATCACATTTACGCAACCTAAAGCAATTTAATGTCATTTTCTAGCTTTCATTATCTTGTTACTCTGTTCATATGTCAGTTGAAACATCTTTGGTTCAAGGGTGATTAAACTAGAGGGCCAAGACCATTCGATTCGTGTGGTTTGCATTTACTCTTTTATCGTCAATTTCAATATTAATCTACTCTATATATCCTTATAACCGCGTATAAATTTAATTGTTATTCGATTTTAGGATAAAGACTATGTATGTAACAAAAACTTAAAATGCATGGTTTCATTACTTGACCTTATGATTGGACGAAAAAACTTTTTTCCCCTACTGATCTCTAATTACTTCGTTTGAAAACTCGGTGAAATGCAACGACCACGATCAAATTGCGATGGGTTGGTGAGTCTACAGTAAAAGTTACAAGAAACTTCTTGTGCTTCAAACTTACACAAATTATCATATCTCTGTCGCATACATCAACATCAAATTTAGGAAATCGAGATTTATCATATGTCATAAATACGTCCCAACTGAATCAATTTCTTCAATCATTATTATCACGGCTGCTTTCTTGATGACGAAAACTATTACAATGTGTTTGATGTTTGTTCGTGGAATATCATTACTTTATTTAATGTCTGTTGTTGTTACTATTACCTTCCCTTTCGATATATTCTTTCCCACAGCAACACTCTCCCCTCTTCACCCCAACTGAAACACTAGCTAGGGAAAGAGAAATGTGAGATGTTGTCGCTCGTCTCCCGTGGCGAATTTAGACCGGACACAATTGAAAATATATACAGTCAGACCCTTTTATAACAATCATTCTTTATCAGGGGAGAAGTCAGCTTTATAGCTACAGATTTCACAGAATCAAATAATTTTGACTCAAACCATGTATTTGTATTAAATAATTTAATAAATATGTATAAATAGTTTACGTAGAACTCAGTAAGTAAAAAAAACAATATGGTCTAGAATCCATAAACTAAAAAATCTAGATTCACATATGTCCTTTATAATAGCTCTTTATTATAGCAACCAAAAAATTGATATCGAGGTATAAATATAATTGTACTATAAAATATGTATGTGTGGAAAAATTAGCATACATACAAAAAATAGAATTCATTACACTTTTGTCTATGTCTAGAAGAAAGATGAGTTCCAATATTTGGAATTCTTTATTGGACCTTGAGGCTGTAGGGAAATGACACCGGAAAATAACGATCATAATACTGCAATAATATTATTTGTAAGCAGATATATGAATTAGCTTGAGTCGTGCTAGGTACTGTCCTAAGAAACTATTTCAGCAATGTGAAATATTTCCCCAGAATTAAACAAGCTCGTCTCTATTTGATTTAGAAGATACAGGAATCAACAAAATATTTATATTACAATAATCCAACAAGATTGAAAAGAGAATAGGACAAAGAAAATTTATAAGAAAAATTAAAAATAAGAGAAGCTAAGAGAGAAAGAGAAGTAGGCTAAGTAGAAAAGCACTTCTGATGTGGATGAATTGTGCAGTCAAATGATGGTTTTTTATAATTGTAATTACATGTAACTTTGTTGTGCATGGCAAGAAAGTGGCTGATCAAGTTTGCCACTTTTTACACTTCTTTTGCCACTTAACATAGCGTTCTAAAATGCCTAAGACACTTATCCAAAACCTTTAAATATTACCACCGAGACATCATCATTCACCTGACACAGTGTCTAATCCCCACGTACCCCCATAGTTCTAAGACAAGTAATGGACTTCCTTTTCTTTTCTTTTCTTTTCTTTTCTTTTCTTCTTTTAATAATTAAAGTTATGGTTTAGTAAGCAAGCATCAATTCGTAGTTTCCCAACAACTCCACAATTTTGGTCATTCATCAGCGTCAATAGCCTCGATGGTGGGACATCTTTTTGATTAAGAGAAACAAATCATTAATCCGAATCGAGATAAACCATTTTGCACCATTTGCATTTGTCCAAACCAAATCAAATCATTATTTTTCATTATTTCAAGAGTATTATACCCATTTCTTTGTTGTGCCATGTACTGTGTATTTTTTTTTTTCAGTACGAATAATTTTATCCATTATCTAATATTTTTGTACATGTTAAAATTTAAACGTGAGACCTCAAGATTCTCAACCAACTTTACTGGAAATAAGTTACACCCTTAAACGTCGTGTACTATATGGCTGATCGAATGGGAAAAAATATTTTTAAATTTTTATTTTTATTCTATTCCACAACCCTCCCTGGCTCCCGCCCATACCATTTAATTATCAGGAGGATCAACCGCAATTGTCCATTATTATCTCCTTTGGTATATTAAATTTCTTCTAATAGTTGAAAGTGTTGGAGTTACTTGATGCTTGGACTGGGCGACTGGGCTAGCTGGTGGAACGATTGGGCCTAGCCTGTATTTATTTTGTAACAGTTGCTTTCAATTTTTTCTTTTTTCTTACATTGTACAGGCCCACAATATAAATAGGGGCTAATTAATATTCTATAGGCTTCTATTTTTTCACTTTTGTAAAAAAAGACAAGCAGAACACTTTCTCTCTGAAGAAAGAGACGATTTTTTTTCCTTTTCTCTATCTCATGAACCCTAATTGGAAAATTGTTCTCTCATGATGATTTCTGAATCTAACATGGTATCAGAGCGGGTAATCTGGTAGTCCCCGGCGTTCTGTGTCGACCGATGCTACCCTCGTCAAATTTCATCGAATATATCTTCATCGCTTCGATTTTCGCTGAGATTCAGAATCTAACATTTTCGTCGATTTTTTGTTCAATTCACGAGTTAAGGAGCTCCTACTCGACTGTGTCGTTCTATTTTTGGTCAGAATTTGCTGCTAATTATCGGAGTTTTGTGCTCTTCGTCAAAGCTAGGGTTTTCGGTGATTAACAGAGTTTTGTTTGGTCTTTGCTAAGGCTAAAATTCTCTCTTCAAGCTGAAGTTTCTCAAGGCCTTTCTTCTTCAGGTTGCAAAGAAGTGTGGTACAATCATTTCTATTTGTTCTCTTGCATGAATTCATTGTTGTGAAATTTTGTTGCTGTATTTTTGTTATCATGGTTAATTCCACTCCAGACTCAAGTTCTTCCTCCTCTGCTTATACCCCTGAACCTTCAAGTCCGTTATTTCTCCTTTCTTCTGATGTACCGGGGGTGTCTTTAGCTGCTGTGCCTTTTTCTGGGACTAATTTTGGGGGTTGGAGGAGGAGTATGATTGTGTCTTTGTCCGCTAGAAATAAAATAGGTTTTATCGATGGGTCTTGCACCAAACCTGCTGTGGATTCTCCCCAGTACAGGCAGTGGGACAGGTGCAATAATATGGTCATATCCTGGTTAATCAATTCTCTTTCTCCAGATATAGCTGAAAGTGTACAATATTCTGAAACTGCTGAAAGCATATGGAAATAATTGAATAATAGATATGGGACTGTTAATGGAACTAAGGTGTTTGAAATAAAGAGAGAACTTGCATCTACTTATCAAGGGACTCTCGACATAGCTTCCTATTTCAACAAACTTAAAAAACTCTGGGATGAACTGGGGGTTATGTGTACCAGCCATGCAAATTCTTGTGTTTGTGCTGCTAAGGAGGGACTCCAGAAGGAGAAAGAAGAGGACAGGGTTCATCAGTTCCTCATGGGTCTTAATGAGGTTTATGTGGGGGTAAGAAGCAACATCTTAATTATGCAGCCATTGTCATCCCTTGATACAGTCTACAATATTTTGTTGCAAGATGAAAAACAGAGACAGGTTGTCCCTAATGCTCAACTTAATCCAGAATCAGACTCTTTTAATGCAAATTCCAACATTAATAGATTCCCTTCTCAACTCTCATCTACAAAACAATATACACAAAGGGTGAACTTTGATTCAAGCAACCAAAGATCTAATGATACTTTGTCTTGCAAGTATTGCAAGAAACCTGGTCATACAATTGAGAAATGCTACAAATTACATGGCTTTCCACCAAATTTCAAGTTCACAAAGGGTAAGAAGTTTGGTACTGCTGCAAGTGCTGAGGGGCAGACTTCTGAACCTTCTGCAATGTATCCTCCTACTGATCAAAGCTCTATGATCCCTGGTCTCACCAAGGAGAAGTACTCCCAGTTGATGCAATTGCTCAGTCAGTCTATATTGGGTGACTCAGGGTCCCAACCTGTTCTAATGGGATCTGCCAATTTTGCTAGTAGTACTTCTTCTTCTCCTATGTGCTTAAATGGTAGTTCTACTGTGCGCATGTTGACTAGTGTAGCTGGAAGGGTTTGGATAGTGGATTCAGAGGCAAATGACCACATGACTTCAAATAAGAAACTCCTTTTTAATATTACACCTCTTCCTGTTCCTTACTTAGTTTCTTTACCTAATGGTTATAAAGTTAAGGTAACCTGTACAGGTTCCCTTACTTTGTTACCATCTTTCACTCTACACAATGTTTTGTATATTCCATCTTTTCATTACAATCTCATTTCTGTGAGCAAGGTAATAGTACAATTCAATTGTATGTGCTATTCACTTCTATTTCTTGCATAATTCTACAGGCCCATTCTATGAAGAAGCTACTGGAGCTTGGTAGAATGGATCAAGGATTATACAAATTTCACCTCAACCATTCTGCTCCTCCAACAATCTCATCTCCTAATAACTCTGTTTTACAGAATGCTAAATTTTCTTTACATGGAAATGTTCAAAATGTGAACCACAGTTCTGTTCCTGATTTACCTTGTGCTACTATTCAAAATGTGCAAACTGAGAATTCATGTCATGTTTCTACTTTACCTTCTTGTACTGTTCCAAATAATGTGAATAAAAATGATGTTCTTTGGCATTATAGATTGGGGCATGTTCCTTTTGTTCAAATGAAGCATATTCCTTCTATCTCTAATGATTTGTCTACTAAACAGTCTTTTATTTGTCCTGTTTGTCCTTTAGCTAGACAACCTAGGTTATCATTCCCAGATAGTTCTTCCCATTCCACCTCAATATTCCAACTTATTCATGTTAACACTTGGGGACCATACCACATCCAAACTTACTCTAGAGCAAAATATTTTTTGACAATAGTTGATGACTATAGCAGAGCAACATGGACACATCTTTTACACTCCAAGAGCTATGCTTTACTTTACTTAAAGCATTTGTAGCAATGGTCAAGACACAGTTTCACCTTTCTGTCCAAAAGGTTAGGAGTGATAATGCCTTGGAGCTTGGTTCCTCCAATACAGCCATTCAATTTTTTTCCGATAATGGTATCATACATCAAACAGCTTGCCCACACACACCACAACAGAATGGTGTGGTAGAAAGGAAACATAGACACCTACTAGAAACTTCAAGAGCTTTGTTGTTTCAATCCAATCTTCCTACCAAGTTCTGGGGAGATTGGGTTTTAATAGCAACCTATCTTATTAATAGATTTCCTTCTAAAGTTTTGTCTAACAAGACTCCATTTGAATTACTTTATGGGGCTGCTCCCTCCTATTCTCATTTAAAACCTTTTGGGTGCCTTTGCTATGCTAGTGTTCCCAAGTGTCATAGAGATAAGTTCCAACCTAAAGCATCTCCTTGTGTGTTCATTGGCTATCCCTTTGCTAAAAAAGGGTACAAACTTTACAATCTCACCACCAAGTCTGTTCTCTACTCTAGGGATGTCATCTTTCATGAATGTGTTTTTCCTTATACTTTGCCATCTTCTGCTTCTTCTTATCTTCCTCCTTCAATGCCTATTGCTTATGATTCTAATGCTGATGCTGTTACTGCTTCTTCTATCCCTCCAGATCTCCCTCTCCCTCCTTCTCCAATACGTGACACTCCTCCTGATGCTCCTAACTCTGTCCACAATCCTGATGTTCCTACTCCCATTCATTCTACTGTTCCTGTTGAATCAGTAGTTCTTCCTGGTCCTGCAGTCAGAAAAAGTTCTAGAACCCATCAACTCCCTTCTCACTTGAAGGATTATGTGGTCCAGCTCCCTTCTGCTTCCTGTTCTTCCTCTTCACTCATGTCTACTACAGTAGAACCCCATTCTTACACTCACGCTGCTGCTATTCCTGCTTGGCAAGAGGCCATGAGGAAAGAATTTGAGGCCCTCGATGCAAACCAAACTTGGAAAATTGTTGAATTACCTGCTGGAAAAAAGCCTATAGGATGCAAGTGGGTGCATAAAATTAAATACATATCTGATGGTAGTGTGGAGAGATAAAAGGCTAGATTGGTGGTTAGAGGTGATACTCAGGTGGAAGGCATTGATTTTAATGAAACTTTCTCCCGTTGTTAAAATGTGTACTATTAGATGTCTGATTGTTGTAGCTGTCAAAAATCGGTGGCCCTTGTTTCAGTTGGATGTTAATAATGCATTTTTGCATGGGGATCTGGATGAAGAGGTTTACATGAAACTTCCTCAAGGTCTTTCTGTTACTTATACATCTTCTGCTTCTTCTGTTTCTTCTAAGTATCCTACTTTGGTTTGCAAATTGCAAAAGTCTGTTTATGGTTTGAAACAGGCTTCTAGACAATGGTACGCGAAGCTATCTCATGCACTCTACTCTAGGGGGTATAATCACTCATTGAATGATTATTCTTTGTTCGTTAAGAAAACTGACTCTTATACTACCCTTATAGCTGTTTATGTAGATGACATCATTGTCACTAGGGATGACTTGAAAGAAATTTCTGCTCTTAAAGCTTTCTTGGATGCTCAGTTCAAAATTAAGGACTTAGGGTTGCTTAACTATTTCTTGGGTATTGAGGTTTGTTATCTTCAATCAGGTATTCTCTTGTTTCAAAAGAAAATTATCTCTGATTTGCTATCAGAATACAAGTGTGCCGATGTTTCTCATGTTGGTAGTCCTTTGGACATGAGCCAAAGGTTACACTCTGATGTTGGGGACCTACTGCCTCATCCTGAAAGTTATAGGAGCCTAGTTGGTAAACTAAATTTTTTGACTCACACAAGACCGGATTTATGTTTTGCTGTCCAACACTTGAGTTAATTTTTACAGAGACCTAGACTTTCACATATGACTGCAGCTTTACATGTCTTGAGATACTTAAAGGGGACTTCTGATTTTGGGGCCTTGTTGAATAATTCTGTTGATTTGTCTTTGCTGACCAGTTATGATAGTGCTTGGGAGGCTTGCCCCGAGTCTAGGCGCTCAGTTTCTGGTTTTTGCATTCAATTGGGTGGTAGCCTCATCAGTTGGAAGTCTAAAAAGCAGCACATTGTTTCCTTGTCATCAGCTGAGGCTGAATAGAGCCACGAGTAGAGTGGTCGCTGAGTTAGCCTGGTTAGTTTGCCTGTTATCTGATTTGGGTCTATCTGTTGATCTCCCAATTCCTATTTTGTGTGACAACCAGGCTGCTATTCATATTGCCAAGAACCCGGTGTTCCATGAACGTACCAAGCACATCGAAGTCAACTGCCATTTCATTCGAACAAAGTTGGCAGATGGTCTTATCTCATTGTCCCATGTTTCTACTAGCTCTCAACTAGCTGACATTTTTACTAAACCTTTGACAGGTCTACACCATTGCGCCTTGGTTGGCAAGTTGGGCGTCTGTCCACCCTCCAACTTGAGGGGGGATGTTGGAGTTACTTGATGCTTGGACGGGGCGATTGGGCTAGCTGGTGGAACGATTGGGCCTAGCCCGTATTTATTTTGTAACAGCTGCTTTCAATTTTTTCTTTTTTCTTACACTGTACAGGCCCACAATATAAATAGGGGCTAATTAATATTCTAGAGGCTTCTATTTTTTCATTTTTGTAAAAAAAGACAAGTAGAACACTTTCTCTCTGAAGAAAGAGACGACTTTTTCCCTTTTCTCTATCTCATGAACCCTAATTGGAAAATTGTTCTCTCATGATGATTTCTGAATCTAACAGAAAGTAATAAAACTTTTTAATTTGTAGTCGTTTTGATAATACTCTCTCTGTTTCCTCTTAGTTATGCACGATAAATTTTGCAATCGCCTTAAAAAAATGGGGATTTGCAATCGCCAGATTTTGGGTTATTTTTTAACTTATACCCGTTTTGCAAAAAAAATTAAAAGCGTACTCACTTTTCGGGTAACTTCAGACATACGGGCCTGAAGTAGCAAAAATTTATGTCTGAAGTTTGAACTTCAGAATATTTTGCCTGAAGTATAGCCTTATCAAAGCAAAACTTTAGATATTTTTGCCTGAAGTTTGGCCTCACTTGCAAAGGCAATCACGCAAACTTCAGTTCATAGTGCAATGACAAACTTCAGTTCAATAGTTGGCTGAAGTTTTTATTTTGTAATTGCTGAACTTCAGCATTCTAGGAGATGAAATTTTTGTTTATATTTGCTGAATTTCAGCATTCTTAGAGCTACATGTATATGATAATATCATCAAGAGGAAAGAAGAGTTGTTTTACACTTGGACTCGTGTAAATGTCAGATACACTTAGTCAGTCGATCTTAGAGCTTTGTTTCTTGCTCTGTTCACAAAATGCCTCTTCTACCAGAATACTCTGTTTTGTCTGTTTCTTGTTTTGTTCCCGAGAAGCCTCTTTGTGCATCGTACATGTTTGCTTGTACTCATCGTACAAATCGATTTAAATGTTATTTGTGGAATTAGAAATGACTGTCCTGATTTCAAGAGCAAAATGATGACGATCACATTTCCAAGAACGAAGACGAATCGATCGAGGACTAACAAGGGTGACACCATGTCCCCTGAAATACTCTATTGAAAGCTTGCAGGTGAGCGGCAGTTGAGTGGAAAATTTTGAGAAGAAAAAAACGAAGGAGGAGAAGGTGGAAGAGAAAGAGGCCTGAAGTTGTTTAAAAAGTAAGTACAAATTAAAAAAAATTTAAAAAGTGGGTATACATTAAATGGGGGCGACCAAATAGGGCGCTCCGTGCAATTTTTACTTAATAAAATAACAATGAAGTACACATTTTATCATAATGCCCGTAAAAATAATAAGTAGTGAAGAATTTTGAAAAGAATGAGTAGTTAATAATAAGGGTAAAACGGAAAATAATATTTTTTTTCTTGATTTGCGGGAGTGGATAAGTAAAAGAAGAAAGAATATATTTTTTAAATAAAAGGGGAAAATAGTATTAAAAATCGAAGTTGAAAAATATTTGAAAGCTCAAATTGTTGTTGAACATGAATTTCTTCTGAAAATATTGAATATTTATGATAAAAAAAATCCATTAAATTCACTTGAAATAGTAGTCTTCATACATTTTTTTTTAATATTTCATCAGTGTTTAAGATTAAAGTTTAATATTTGCAAATAAGGATGACTATTGACTAATTAAGTGGCAGTTTTCAATCTAGGAATGGGAATTGATTCGTTTCCCTTCATTACTTTTGGTTCGGTTTAATTTGTACAGGACAAAGTTTTGGATGTTGATCAATAGGCACAAGACAGGTCAAATGGAGGTGGGGTGAGAAGGAGATTTAGCTTTTAACGAAAGAATTTTACTTTTGCCGAGGTTTACTTAGTGAAAGTTAATTACTTTATGTTAATCAGTTTAAGGATAACGTTGTTAATGATCAGGATTACAAACTATAAAAGGCCATTATACTTTAAAGCTGCTTTGGCAGCATCTTCTATTTTGTTCGTTGTGTGTGTGTGTGTTTGATTTACAGTGACAGACTGGAAAAGAAAACAGATTTGTTGTGTTTGGGGTGGATCATTATAACCCACATGCCGTGTTGGATCCATCTTGACCTTTTATCACTTTCTTTAATTTACGGCTTGTTTGGATGGTTGTTACCTATCGTATCGTATTGTATTGTTACTTTAAATATAATATTTGTTTTGATTATTACTTAATATTGTATCGTATCGTTAAATTCGTCGTTACGTAACGATGAAATGTGTCACTTTATGTAACGACCGATTTGGTGTGGTCGCGTCGTTTCCTTGTGTTTTTCTCTCAATCTCACCCTTCATTATTATTAAATAATTTTATTTTATCATTTACCCTACCTTTTTATATACCGTATCATGATTTTTCTTTATAATATTGCAAGTTTATTCATCATATCACAGGTGCGTGATGCCATGAAACGACGCCAAAACGACACAATCCATCCAAACATTGTATTCATCAAACGATACAGTATAATATAATACAATACGATACGATACTTTATGAAACGATGCGTAACAACCGTCCAAACAAGTTGTTAAGTAAATTTGATGCACTAATGATGTACTCCGTATAAGATTTATAGAATTAGATCATTTCTGAAGTAATTATAGGTAATACTATTTTTTATAAACATTTTCGATAATCATGCAACTTACTACTACATTAATAGTATTTATTATAAAACAATCTCGCCACTATCAATGATATAACTTATACTGTGAATACACTTTCATGATACTTGCCAAAAGTTGTGATGATATAGATTATAGAGTGATCTTTTAATTAAATGTAGAATGTTCGATTCTTGGAAATGAGCTCAATTTATATAAATCGGGCTAATATTTTAGGATATCAAAGTATTATACCAAAAAAATATTCTTTCAGTTCTTGATACGTGTCCCAATTTCTTATGCCAAACAAGGTATAATCAGAAGCACTAGTACACTGCTTTTCATTATGATTTAGTAAGTTCTACGATATTGTATTTATCATCATTTTTTATGTTGGAAATTGAAAATATTTAGTATTACATTTTTTATCAATTGGGTTTGGTGAAACAGAACAAAGGCGCCGCTAGCAATGGTGGTCATAATTTGACCTGTTCAATTCAAAATAATCTCTAATGAAATTGGATCAACAACATGTTCTATCCATTTTGTGAAGATTGAGAAGTAAACAACAATGGTGGAGCTTAAGCCCGAGCTCCAATAGCAGAGTTCTAGAAGCTCCTCGAAGGAGAGAGAATAAGAGAAAGATGTGAGCAAAATGAATTAATTGAACTAAAATGTTATCTGTACAAGATATACATATATACACTACACATGAGCCACATGTGAGGGCACTAACTGACAAAATAAAGAAGCTAACTAACATACTTAACAGTGTTTACACATATAATTAAAACCATATCTCAATACCCTCCCCCCCCCCCCCCCCTCAAGTTGGAAGTGAAGTTGTCACTGCTGTAATGTACTTAAGAAATTAAAAAGGAAATGGGACTGAAAATGGAGATTTTATTGAGTAATTCGAATTGTACAATCAAATTCTGAAATTGAAACTATTACTAAG